AAATCTTTATGTCATTATTAAAGAGGAAGGATTAAAAGATTTTTTGACGTAAAATTATTTTCTAATTCTTTTTAGAATCTTTGAAATTTTGGTTAAAAATCTTGTTTCTCTCTTGTCAAAGTTGTGCCGCAACATTTTCTGATGAATTTCGTATTTGATATTCGATAAATTTGATATTGTATCGCTGAGTTTAAATAATTCTTTTTTACTATTTACACTATTTACATTGTTTTAACTGTTGTCTTCATCTTTATTGCCATATTAACGACGTTTCGGCCGTTGTACCTTCTTCAGGTGATATTTATTGGAATTTCGAACCGAATACTTTATAGGAGGTAGATTGTTCTAATTCCACGTATCATGCCTTTGGATATCTCAGTTTCAGTTAATTCTCCGTAACACGAGGGAGAATAGAAAAATCAGGCATGGCTGACCACATATGACGAGAAAAGGGAGATCACTGGCCTCTGGGGAATGAACATTACTGGAAAATACGAGAATTTAAGAAACCAGCGCATATGCTAAGCTACAAATATCTAAGCCGGCAAAGCATCAACATTAATACAATATGAGAACCAGTAATAAAGAGAAACAACTATAACAAAAAATTGTAATATGAGCATTGGTAAAAAATAGTTGTTGAGACATTAGCTTTATATGCCACAAAAATTCATTCATATGGCTGTTATTTGATTGATATAAAAGTGAGTTGACCAAAAGAGTTGTGAGTTCAATACCTGGCCACAGCAGCAGGAACAAAAAAGGGAATTAACTGAAAGTGAGATATCCACTACACTCGCCCATCCGCGCTATGAGTAGACCGTCTGCTCATAGAACAAGAGTGGATCGCTTTTCATTCGTACGTTTGTCGCACTGAACAACTTATTCTCAATCCCTCTTCTCCTGTGATTAAACCTTTCTTTCATTGCCGGATTTACTTATAGGTTTAGCAGGCCGAATGAAGGCTTGGACCTCAAAATCTAGAGGGCCTCCAGCCAAGATGTATAATATTTTTGACATTGCCATAGGCCTTTTTTACACATGCTTGTCATAACACATTGTAGACTCTAAACATCTCTACAGTAATTTTAAAAACCCGTCATCATCCTTGGTTTTACTCAAATGTCTTCCATTTTCCTCTACTCGTGAGAATGGGAAAGGAGCCTCACATGTGGAATAGTTTAGGGCCTCGCTTCATCTAAATCTGGCACTGTCTTCACTCAACCCTTTGTTGCTTGTTTTTTCCTTACAGACTTGCTAACCAGCGACTATGAGCGCTTCGAACTTTATAACAATGATGATGACATTCCCTTCGATCACCAGTTCGGTTGTGTACCCAAACGTTTACAAAATGCTAAATATACAGTTGTAATATCGATTTCCTAGAGGCTGGATGCTGAAGCCTTGCCAGATAACAAATTTTACAGGATCAGTCAAAATAAATAAATTCTAATCTCTCTAAATTTTACATTCGATTATCACTCAGCATTTCTCATCATTTTTGTCAACCTTTTCTTTTTACACTATTTACACTATTCGAACTATTGTCCTCATCTTTGTTGCGATATTTATTACAACGTTTCGGCCGTTGTACGCTCCGGCCTTCTTCAGGTGGTTGGAATGTCAAACTGAACCCTTTATTTCGATCACTGGGGTAGACTGTTTTAGTTCCACGTGTCATGTTTAATGGATGTCAGTTATCAGTTATCTCCTGTTAATTCCCCTCTCCAAGTTCTCCACCGCCTTAACCAGGTATTGAACTCACACTCTTTGGGTCCTGTCCCTGGATCTAACTAACTCTTTTATCCCCTGTGCCTTGTCTCCTTGACATGGCCCGTGGAACTAGAACAGTCTACACTAGCGAGCGAAATAAAGGGTTCAGTTCGACATTCCAACCTCCTGAAGAAGGCCGGAGCGTACAACGGCCTAAACGTTGTAATAAATATGGCGACAAAGATGAGGACAATAGTGCGAATAATTTAAATAGTGTGCATAATACCTCATCTCAGAAATATAGACAGATAAAAAATAGGTTTTAAGTTTGAGGCATTTTTTTCATCATGATATAGTCATAATTTAACGAATCTAAAATCTTGTGATTTCATTAAATTATCAGCATTTTTAGTATTTTAACTTCTAAAATTCGTTTATATCTATAGATTTAAAAAATATATTTATTAGTGCGGCGTAAAGCGGCGCAAACGAGTAAAGCATTTTGTTCTCCCATATTTGTTTAATTTAATGTGACGTTGATTGCTACCTGATCGTCTTTAATCGGCTTTATTCACTCATTATCTGACGTGGACAATTGTTTTAATCCAAAGATTAGCTATTTAAAAATTTACGTGATGTATCGGAGTTTCTGGGATGCGCAGCTATTTATTATGTAGCATGTGATTATTCACGTTTGGAAATATGAGAAATCGCACTTAATAGCCTTCAGGAACCTTTGATCTAAGAAGAGTTGATCTGTGGTGACCCGAAAATTTACTCGGTTCACTGTAAGTCTACCATTCGTCCTTGCATTGAATATTGCTGCCACACCTGATCTGGGGCTACGGACATGTATTTAGAGATTCTTGATAAATCCCAAAGAAACTGTAATGTTATCCGTCCTGAACTGGCATCTTGGCTTTCCTTTTTCTTACTTCCCACCATCGCAACGTAGCGCCCTCGTGCATTTTACATACATATTTTCATGGTCATTGTTCTAATGAGCTTTCCTCTTTGGTGCCTCGATGTTACGAATTTAAGCGCAATGCTAGATTGGCAGCTAGGTCTCATCATTTTGCAGCCGAAATGGTCAGATGTAACCGTAAGTTCTATGTTAACAGTTTCTTCTCTCGCACTTCTAGTTTGTTAAACTCTCTTTCGACTTCTTGTTTTCGAGTCAAGTTTTAACTTCAAAAATTTAAATGCAATGTCAATCGTTATCGTCTGTCTTCTAAATTCCCGTTCTTTTATTGTTCTTCCGCCTAAATAGTATTTTTCTTTTTCTCATATCCATTCACACCCAGTTAACCCTTTTTTTTCTTTACTGCGTCGCTTGAGGTGAAGTGATTTTAAAAAAATTAAAAAGAGATGCCAGAGTCAATAATTCGGTGTCACCTCAAAAAGCCTAAAGAACTGGGAGCCTCATCCCAGAAGTTAACTTCAAAACCGCCAAGGGAATTCTCAGTAGCCTTCTGTAGAGCCACATCTATGTTGCCTCAAGTCTCATCTTCCTCTGTCAGAAAATTGAAAACATTCACGATATAAAGGCCAGTTATTCTCGTTTTCCCAGTCTCATTCGTCTGCTAGGGAGACTAACCAGTTCCTGATGCCGACGCCTGATGCCGACAAATTTCTATTTGTTCAACACCTACAGAGACTATCTGTGCTTTATGCTGCAACTATGCTACGAGGAACTTAGTTATAGTTCCTAGGAGATCTGGCGTGATCAGCAGTTTGAACAACGCCAGTATTCGCAAATCCTCGGTCACGATGACTTGTGATTTCGTGCTAGCACAACCATCGACGACAAATTGATACAAGGCTTGGGTTAACCAGTAGTATGTTTTTCAAGCATTTTCTACAGGTCGACAACGTCACGAAGTCACCTTTCTGTCAAATCGACCATGGCGAAAGTCGAACCTAGGTCTCATGATAGTCAGTGAAAAAGTAAACCTAGCAGATAGGTATTGGGAGTGAGAAAATATACAAAAAAATGTTGTGGGGCTCTCCCCTTTTTACATAAGATGGACTCGTCCAAAGTATACTTATACTGACAGAGAGAATACCTGCTGTTGAGCTACGTCGAGATACAGTCTCGACGTCTGTCGAACTCTCTGCTTTAGCAGAGAGGAACTCGGACGAGGCTTTGCCGAAGGGCAAGGTTTCGTCCGAGGAGGTAGACAGACCCTGAACCCGTCTAGGCGGGTTCAAAGGGTATATTTTTTGCCGAGCCTACGGGCTCGGAGAAACCCACTTTAAACTCGGCCTTGTACCACATATATTCCTCGTGGGTGGAATATTAAATACTGGGATCCGTCGAGATACAGTCTCTGACTGTGTTCGACGTCTGTCGAACTCTCTGCTTTGGCAGAGAGGAACCCGGACGAAACTTTGCCGAAGGGCAAAGCTTCGTCCGGGAAGGTAGACAGGCCCAAAACCCGTCTAGATACGTTGAGACAGGTTGAGAGATACGGAGACAGACACAGGGTGTTCTCAGAGAGTTATACAAGAGTCCAGAGAGAGAGAGAGAGAGAGAGAGAGAGAGAGAGAGATGATTACGGCTTTACTTACAGAGACTTGTAAATATACTTTCTACTAACCCGCATTCCTGGACTACTAATCTTCAAGTCTGTATTCTTACGTTTAATAAACTTATTTTTCTATCTCAATTACTGGTGTTGTTTATTTATTTGTGCAGGATTCCATTCAAGGAATCCACAACAACAAATTAGCTAGGTAAAGTAGTAAAAGACAACGTCGATTGTGACATAGAAATCCGGACGCGAATAGAATAAAGAAAGATGCCTTCTGAAAGGCATCTTTCTTTATTCTATTCGAGTCCGGATTAAGCAAAACATTAAGAGGCAGGGAAATAAAATAAAGGTAAAGAGTGTTGAACGGCTATGTAAGTAGATGCTGTACAATCTCCTCACAGATGAAGAACAGACTTGAAGTGACAGTGATGTGGTTCTCATGATGAATACGAGGAATACTATGAATAGATGATATGAGGAAATGAGGTAGTTTTAAGGAGACTACGAACTAAAATGAAACTAGCTATTAACAATCAGAAAGTAAGAGTAGTGATTTCTCGCGGATATAATAAGGAAAGAAAGCTTGGAGAATTTAACACTCACAGTCAAGAGAAGCAAAGGTAAACGAATCTGAGTAGATAGATGTCATGACAAAGGTCGCAAAGAGAGGCGGTGAAAATGGGGAGGGTTACTCATATCGACAAACGACTGCACGTTGTGGAGAGGTGTGATCACCCTGAAAGAGGCTTACCGCCATATGACGTTTTACCACCGGTTCCCGTATGATCACCGAAGTTAAGCAAAATCGAGCCTGGTTAGTACCTAGATGGGTGACTGTTTGGTATATCAGATACTGTAAGCTTGGATGTGCAGGTGGTTTAATGGATAATGGCTCGGAATTGTTAATCGGAGAGCCGAGTTCGAATTCCAGCCGGGTTCGTTATATTCACTTACGCTCAAATACCTTTGGAAAAATCATTAAAACACATCTTCTCCCGACAGCTATGGGTTAATTAGTAAGACTTGCATCACTAACAGTCCTGGGTAAGACCATAAACTACATCCGCGTCATGGGTAACACTATATAGTACATCCGACAGCAAGAGGTTTTGAGGAGCATGGAACCACCTCTTCATTGCTGGTTTTACCAGGTCCACCCTGACCAGGGGTGGTGGCACCTGTCAGGGTCCCAGCTATGAGCCAACAGATAACCCCCAAAAGGGGTCAAACACTATGTAAGTATGAAAAAGGGATTTTAATACAAGCAATACTTTTTTGGAAAAAAATTATTACCAACAGCCGTCTTGGGTATGACGATAAACTACATCCGCGTCCTGGGTAAGACGATAAACTACGTTCAACAGCAAGGGCTCTGATCAGGAGCGTGGAACCACCTCTTAATTGCTGGTGTCCACCATAACCCGGGGTGGTAGCACCTGTTATGGGCAAATAGTTAACCCCGTAAAAGGGGTCAAAACACGATGAAAATGTAAAAATAGGTCTTAATACCAGAAATACTTTGTAAAAACAAATATTACCAGCAATACATTATTATCAGCAATACATTTTAGGCAAAATAAATTTTACCAGCAATACTTTTTTGAAAAAAATATTATCAGAAATAGATTTTTTGAAGGAAAAATAGTACTAGCAATACATGTTTGAAAAAAAATATTACCAGCAATAAAAATCTTGTCGGCATTAAATAACCCATTGAGGTGTTGATATGCCGTAAAACAAAACAAACCATTACCAACAATACATTTTTGGAAAAGAATATTACCAGCAATTAAAATCTTGTCGGCATTAAATAACCCATTGAAGTGTTGATATGCCGTGAACCAAACCAAACGTTGCAGCACTGAACTGTTATTATCTTTAAAATGTAAAATGATTCACTGAACACATTTTTCCCGTTTCAGCTTGCTTGTTCCCAATAAAGATTACTGATTTCTTGAATATAGTTTCCATCAAGTTCTCTCACTATTTCAAGGGACTTGTCGTTCTGTACCCAATCATATACCTTTATCTAATCTCTGGTACAGATCTTTGTTTGTTTTGTTTTGCTCGCTCTGATTGTTTGTGTTTGTTTTGCTCGCTCTGATTATCTTCTGATTATAAAAATCAAAAGTCATGATTCAGTGTTTTAAACAAAGCTACTCTGTTTATGTCCTATTTCTGATAGGGATGTGTAGTAAACATTTATAAGCACACTTTATAAGTATATACGTACCAGCAAGCAGATATTCCGCACGCCCATTCAACCGGAGTATAATACCAGGTTGTGGAAAGCCCACGTGTATATAATGTTAAAATCAAAAATTGCTCAGTCTACCTCGATTTTAGTGAAACCGAGTTCTATATTTTGTTTCTAATGCTGACAGCCTTACACGGTTTGCGGAAAAGATATTAGAATAATCAAGAACTTATACTGGCAGAAAACCGCTTGCAATACGGATAGAAAATAAGTTCAGCAGATATACAAAAATAAAAAGGGGTGTAAGACAAGGATGTGTCTTCTCACGGGACTAAGTCAACCGATACAGCGAGACGATTTTGAGAGAACTAGAAGTCCTACTAGGAATAACTACTGGTGGTCACAGTCTTAGCAATATATGTTATGCCGATGGCATAGTGTTGATAGCAGACACAGAAAGAAAACTCTTGCAGAAGATTTTGAAGGAAAGCGAAAAGAAAGGATTAAACATCAACTGCAAGAAGACAGAATGCAGGGTTTTCAGCAAAAAGATGAGCCCAAAGCGCGAATTGCAAATCGGAGATACCAAAAGCAAAAATGTACATTAAAATTTAAATATCTGAGAACTGTTTTAACAGAGGAACGAAAGTGTGACACTGAAATCCGAAGGCGTATTGGGATAGCCAAAGATGCTTTCCAAAAGCTAAGCAGAGTATTAAGAAATAGAAAAACTTCGCTAGAAACAAAGAACAGAGTACTAAACTGTTACGTGATATCAGTCCTCATATATGGCATCTCATCAAAGATGAAAAAGAGACTTGAAGCAACAAAAATGTGGTTCTACAGAAGGCTGCTGAGTATGCCACGGACGGAACATGTGAACAACGACGAAGCTTTAGATAAAATGGAAACAAAACGGAAACTTATACTTAACGCCAGGAAGAGACAGTTGAAATTTCTGGGGCGCATAATGAGGAAGGAGGGCTTGGAAAATCTGATACTCACAGGACTGATTGAGGGCAAGAGAGACAGTGAAAAATAGCGGATAATAGAGTGAGCTTGAGTAGTGTGTAAACCCCTCTCTCGAGGAGATTGTAACACATTTGTTTATCATATCTCAGTTGCACTTAGGGGCGACTCCGTCAAAGGACAGAGTCGCAACTGAGAAAAATTATACTGAGAGGTACTCAGCCCTGGGTAACAGTGTAAGAATCCTTCTACTCGGTTTTTTGTTGAATATTAAAATTTGGAGTGTCGGGATTCAATACATTAACAAAATATCGTTTACAGGGTCGCTCGTAATTTGGCCACCTAGAATAATCAAACGCTTTTCATTGAAGGAATAAAATTCAGTAGAAAAGACGACGTAGTTTCAACAAATAAACATTGATTTAATATAACGATAGGAATACAAAAAGTTGATAATAGATTGGAAAATAATGTCTTTTGTTTGGGTTGATAAAGTTCTGAAATAAAATATAAACTGTCTTTGTGTACGTGTGTGAGAAACAATAAAATGTTGTAATATGTGTGTTTGTATGAAAAAGTCAACATGTGTGTGCATGATTCATAGTAAAAACTGATACGAGAGATACGAATTCTTTCTTACTGTTGGCGGTGTTGCCGTGATCTGGAGTTTGTCAACGCTGTCGTTTTTGACATGAGGTCATGAAGGTCATCGGCGAGAGGTGTGTGTAGTTTGGTGACAGCCGCGTGTATATTGTTTGGGAACTGATTTCGTATGTTTTTATACACTTTTTCCGAACAATATCGGCTCCAGAATTAAATTATTTATTTATTTCTAATTGGCCCTAAGAAGTCACGTGGTATGTCTTCTACTACGTCCGTACGATATTTGGTCGGTATCTACCAAAAAATAATGATGACTAATACAACAAACATTCTGATTTGTAATCTATGATTTTATTGGTGTGTTTGTAATAGTAATAGTTTGTTGCATGTATCTGGACCGTGTTTTGAGAAATGAAAACATTTTATAAAACATACATATAACAAACTATTTCCTATTTAACAGTTAAAATATTTAATCCTTGAAAATGTTTAAATGTATAGCCGAAAGCTCTCGGATAAAAAGAACATTCGGACAGTTTTTATATAATTTATCATCCGAAAAGAAAAAAAATATTAGATCGCATGAGAAATTGTATAAAAAAAAACCTAAATAAAACCATCTTGTCTGTCGTATTCAATGAAATGTGCATGAAAAGAAGGATTGCCCTAAATACACAAATATATATATATATATATATATATATATATATATATATATATATATATATATATTAACAAAAGAGAAAATTTATAAAGAGCTACGAATACGAAAACAGGAAATTGTCCAGAGCCATGATCGCCTTCCTTCTGAGGGACATTTCACATAAAGAAATAAATAATGTAATGACGATTGCACCACATGCAGAACCTTCCCTTTCTTCTATGGAACTCGGCTTTTGAGTTCGGTTGTGGAGTGATGGATAGCGGCCCGAATTGAGGAATCGGAGAGCCGAGTTCGAATTCCAGTCGAATCCATTTCATTCACTTATACCCTTGGGAAAGGCATGAATCCTCCCCCGACCCAGCTATCGGTAAATAGCAGGACAGACCGGGTTCCGTAGCCTTGGATGGCAACTGGTCTACCACAGAAAGAAATGGCAACCTACTACGGAAAAAATCTCCCTCGTCAGTCATTATCTATCTATATTTCTGAGATGAGGTACTATGTACACTATTTACATTATTCGGACTATTGTCCTCATCTTTATTGCAATATTTCGGCCGTTGTACGCTCCGGCATCCTTCAGATGGTTGGAATGTCGAACTGAACACTTTATTTCGCTCGCTGGGATAGACCGTTCTAGTTCTTGTCAGTCATGTATCGAAAGATACATGATCGCCTAAGCGTGCATCACGCATGGCACATAAATTAACTGTGGAGATATTATCTTCGTCAATCCACCACCTTTTTGCATTTTAAACATTCTTTTTAGTCCTTCAGTAGGAGCAGATAGGTTCGTCTATCGTCTGGTTTACACTCCTCCCTGTTTTTTTTTGGTTGTTTGTTTTTTTTTTTTAACAGAGGTTTGTCCTTTGTTTTCTGTTCAGGATTGAGTTCCCGGCTCCTTCTAAAGTCTTTTCTTTTTCTTTCACTTCCAGTAGCCTCCTTGCGTCTTTGTGACGTTTTCCCCTTGCTTGGGGTGAATTGAATTTTAAAAAAATGATAATGTATACTGTGGGAAGGGATCACTGGGGCTAGACATTCTATGGAACCCGCCAACCAACCTAGCATAAAAGGTAATTCCATGGACAGAACGAGTAAGGAACGGGGAAGTCTTAAAGAAAATGCCAACAAAAAGAACGCTTATGGTCAGAATCAGGAATGGAGAGCTGAAATTCCTTAGACAAATAATGAAGGCGGGCTTCGAGAACTTGGCCCTCTCAGGGTATTCGAAGGCAAGATATATATATATATATATATATATATATATATATATATATATATATAGAGAGAGAGAGAGAGAGAGGGAGAGAGAGGGGGGGCAGCACGATGAGCCTGAGGAGCTTGTGTAAATGGATAACGGAACGAGAAACAAGGTGCTTGGCAAATGAAGAATCGTTCCTAAGGGTCGCAAGAGACAGGAAACTAT